TGCATATGAGCTTGATGCGCTAGCGAATCTCATGAACACATAGTGGGCAGAGATCGAAGGTAGTAGAAATGCTCCCAGGAGACCAAAATGAGGCTCGAGCTGGAGCATGCGCACGAGAGAGGCCCTGGGCTCCTGCCCAGCACTGCATAAATAAATAAACCTTATTCAGAAAAGGACATCTCCTCAGTGGCTTCTCGGTCCCCTTTTGCAGAGGCCACCTGTAAGCACAAAGTGGTACCTACACCCCAGAAAAGCCTGCATGCCCCTCCCTAGCCTTCCTCAACCTCCAGGCCCGGATGTGTCCCTCCTGTTGGAGCTGGCTGGAAATGGACCTGCCGCGAGCTCTCCTGGGCCAGCTTGAATCTGGGACTCACTGGCCAATGAGCGGTTGGTTGTGGGGCCCTCTTCCTGTGCAAGTGAGGGCCAGACAGGTCCCAGAGATGCCCCCCAGCCTCTGAGCCCAGATGTTGCTGTCTCCTCCTGGAAGGGGGCCTGGGAGGCACAGGATTCAGGCACAGGTGCCACTAGAGGCGTCCTGGGCAGCCTTCTCACAGCGGAACAGGCCCTGCACTTGCTTCCTGAACTGCCGGAGAGACGGAAAAGGCAGCTCACTTTGGCCAGATGCCTGACAGCCTTTTAGGGTAGTTCAGCCTTGGCAGGGCTGTGTTCCTCTTGGAAGGAGAGAAGATGAGGGACTCAGCCGCCAGAGAGGGCAGCAGTGTCCTGAGTGCTTGTCCTCAAGTGCTTGGCTTCACCTTCCTGGCCTCCCCCGCTCCCGCTCCTGGGACAGCCCCCTCATCAGCGTCCATCAGGACTGCTCCTGGCCAGTGCTGGAGGAGGGAACTTCCTGCGGTCTGGGGGCTCCTCCAAGCGCTGATCCAGTGTCCTGGTCTTGCGGAGGCCCGGGGGAGGTGGCCTGGTGCTCACAGAGCTGTTGCCTGTGTTGCCTTATATGACAGTGACTGGGATGGCCTTGGGGGCTGCTTTGGCCTCCTCCCCAGCCCACTGCCTTGGCTGGGGGAGGGGAGAGAGTCTCCTACCCGCCTTCTCTTGGCCCTGTGCTTACCCACTGTACAATTTGGGCAGAGTTCTTTTTCTTTCTCAGTGGAGTAAGTTTTCAGAAGGGCAGAACTGGTCCCTGAGTTACAAAAGGCAGAGAGCTGGTGGCAGTTGAGTGTCCAGGGGGCAGCCTGAGATGAAATGAAAGGCAGTGGTGGGCAGGCGGCCGGCGAGGGCACGCCCCGCTCAGATGTGGGTTTCTTCTCATCCGTCCATCCCCTCTGTGCTTTTTCTGGGACTTTTCTTCTTTTCTGGACAACCGCCTTGCCCTGACCCACCCAGCCTGCCTCTTCCCTTCGGGACCCACCCCCGGCTCTGCTTAGGGCTGCCAGCATCCCCCCCAACCCCTCCCACACACACACACACATACACACACCCTGCGGCTTCCCGCTCCCTGGCAGGCAGGCCTGGGTGGGGGATATTAATGAAGCCCAGATGCGTCCTTCTAACTGGGCTGCTCCTGCTCACAGGCTGAAAGAGGCCAGCTACCTCCCACTGTGCTCCTGCCCAGCTGCTGCTGGGCACCCGCAACAGCTGGAGAGCAGGTCTTGGCTGTTGGGAGCCGGGGGAGGGGGTAGGGATGGAGCCAACACCCCACAGGGAGAAACTAGAGACTGGGCAGGGGCGAGGGGCAGGGGTCCAAGATGGAGAGCTGGTCAAGGAGTGCCCATTCTTTTTCCCATGGGACCGGCCAGCTGACGGCTGCCCCTCCTCAGGGCTCTGGGAACGGGCTTCTGCAAAAAGGGGTTCAGCCCGAAGGCAGGCAGGGTGGTCAGTGTGTGGCTTGGAGGGCTGGTCCCTGGACCAGCGCTGCACGCGCCAGACATATATTAAAGAACATTATCCTTTGGTTCTGAGAAATTCAAATGCAGCTGTGTATCCTCTGTTTTTATTGGTTAAATCTGATGCCCACCCCCACCCCCCATCTGACAGTCTTCCCCAAGTAGAGTTGTCTTGAACTGCGGTAGAGAGAACTGAACACAGCCTGGCAGGCCATCCTGGTTCAAGTCTCCACACATGGCCCTGTGCCCCTGCACCCAGGTCAGGAACAGAACCGCCCCCCGCCCCTCCCCCTTCCCTGCTCCTTCCCCGCTCCATCCCTGCCCCCGACTTCCACCAGCTGGTCTTGCCCACTTTTGTACTTAGTATAAATGAAAACATACATGGCTCTTCTTTTGTTTCTAGCTGCTTTCACATGTACCATTATTGATCGTCCCTGTCCTGTGGTGTTGTCCTGCTCCTTCACAATCCTCACGTGGATGGCTGAGTGGTGCGGCACAGTGTCCTGGTTATTTCTCCATCCTTTTATTGAGAGTACACAAGGCTCCTCCTGATTCCTGGCAGTGTTTACAAGACCATATGTGATAGCAGGATTGAGGGGAGATTGGCTGCATACATGGCAAACGCCTCACCCACCCAGCCCCTGGACTGTCCCTTGGGTCTGTTACTCCTAGAGCACCAGCTCTGCTCTCTGGAACAGAGCTCCTGGGAACATGGAATCTGCACATGCGTATCTCAGGTGGCTTCTGTCGCTTTACCCAACCAGAGTGGCTGCACCCACTTCCATCCACAGCTGTGTGAGTGTCCCCACTGCTGAGACCATCCCAGCCCTTGTCATTCCACCCTTCTACTATCTGCTGGTCTTGTCTCCTGTTGTTTCTCCTTTTAACCAGGAGCCCTTGCTTTGTTGATTGAGCTGACTTACTGGACTGAGTGCTATCTACAAAAATAAACAAGGGTCTGGCCCAGTTCCTGACCCTGCTCCTGCTCCCAGCTTTGAGGAGGCCACTTTGCCCCAGTGGTCTATTCCCAGGACGCCCCCCACACCCCGCTGGAGGCTCTATGGCAGCAGGGCCCAAGGTTACAGCAGACGGAGTTTTCAACATCAGCTTGGAAGCAGCCGTCCAGCCCTGCTCCTTGAGTCCTTTCTTAGGGAAACATCATTCCCGAGGGCTTCCCAAGGCTCACTGTTCATGCATCAGGTCCTTCCAGGGATCTGCTGGTGGTGTTGGGGGGTACCTGAACCCGTCTCTTCTTAGAAGGCAGTTCCTTCTACGCAGCTGACCCTGGTTTGATCCCCTACGTGACATGGTCACCTGAGCGCAGCCAGGAATAGCCCCTGAGCACTGCTGGGTGGGCCTCAACAACTCCATCCCCCCACTTCCACCCCCAAAAACGCCAGTTCTATGCCATAGTCTCTTACGCTTCCTCCATCTTCAAGCCTGACATCCCCCGTGGCAGCTTTGTTCAGGAGTCAAGGATGGGGCTGGGGTGGGTGTCTGCTGCCCTCGGGGGCCAGCAGTGTGTGGTGGTGCCTGGATCATGTCACCCTCCACTTAGGGCTGTGGACGGGAGTGTGGGGGAGGAGGGGCTGTAGGCCTCCTGCTGGTCTGGCTCCCTGTCACAGGCCTCCTCCTGCCTCTCCCACCCTGCCTTCCCAGCCTTCACATCCTGGGAGAAGCCCAGCCCAGCTGTTTGCCACTGAAGATGTTAGCTGCATCCAGAGTGAATCAGGGCTGTTTGGGGAGAGACTCGGGAACCCAGCACAGCTGAATGAGCTGAAGGGACTCTAGACTCAGAAGCCGCTCTGTGGCCTAGGGCTGGAGGCCTGAAAGGCCTCTGTCCTGCACTTCGTCCACAGGCTCAGTAGCCAGAGAGGTCCTCTCCTGCCCACTACTTTTATGCATGCTGGGCACCTAGACTGGCCACATAGCTGCCTCTGCTCACAGACACAGGAACTCTTGGAAAGACAGGCCTCACCATGAGCCACCCGGGAGCTCTGGCTTAGATTAGGGGAGGGGCTCCCCAAAGGACTCTTTTTGCATGCTGGGTCCCTCATAGCTACCACCTATGTAGGCTCAAGATTCTAAAGCTGTGAAAAAGATCCACGGCAAGGATCTGTGAGAGGCACTGTGACTTCCTGTTTCTGTGTCCACAGATCAACGCAGACAGGGAAGAAAAGAAAAGGGGGCCTGGGCTGGGAGAGAGTCCGGGCTGAGTGATGCTCGCATGCAGATGGCCTGGATTGGGGCCCCGGCACCATTTGTTCTCCTGAGCACGGTGGGAGTGACCTGGCAGTGCTGAGTTGGGTGTAGTCCCCAAGCACCACTGGGTGTGCACACAAAACAGAGAAGAAAAGCACTGTGGTTGCTCTGAAATGGCCAGTCACTGCTTTTTTCCATTTGCTTATTTTTCTTAAGAGCTATGAGTTACAAAGTTATTGACAATTGAGTTTTAGGTATATGATATATTAAGATCAATCCCACCACCAGTGTCAACTTCCCTCCACCAGTGTTTCCATGTTCCCTCCCTGTCTCCACCCCCACCCCAACCCCAACCCCATCCCTTTGTACATTACAAAGTTTTGATGATCGCAGCTCTCATGTTTTCAGTGTTGTTAAGTCTGTGTTTTGGATATATGGCTACAACACTCACCCTATCACCAGGATAACTAAATAACTGAAGCCCTGATGCCCGTTCACCCATGACTTCTTGTTCTCCTCTTCTCCCCTTGACTTCTTTCCTACTCTGTCCTCTCTAAACACTAAGTTCATTTGCTTATTTATTTGACTTTCCCAACATGCATGCTTTGTTTTTGGTTTTGGTTTTGGTTTTGCTTTGGAGGGAAGTGGTTTGGGGGTACCTGGCAGTGTTCAGGGATTACTCCCAAGCTCAATGCTTAAGGATCACTCCCAGCAGTGCTCAGAGGACCATATGTCGGGTCAAATCTAGGCCTCGCACATGCAAAGCATTGCTCTGCCCTTGGATGCATTTCCCCAACCCCATGCATATTTATTGCCTCGAAATAAAATGATAAAAACCAGGAGAGAAAACCCTTTGCTAGGATCCCCCAGAGGAGCTCTCCCACATGGAAGCTATCTCCACACACAACCCTTGCAGGGACTGCTCTCACCCAGCCTCTCTCTGGCCTTCTCTTGCAGGCAGCTACGCGGCCAGCTCAGCCTCCTGATCATTGCCCGAATGCTGAACCAACAAGATACACTTCCTGTCTGGCAAGAGAAGGCTCAGGTGAGTGAGTGAGTGCTCTGCTGCTCCATCACCCCTGAGGCCTGTGGGGGGATGCCTATGAGGGAATGAAGGCTCAGCCTGAGGCCTGCGGTCTCTGGTGTTTCCCCAAAGGTTGGCAGCCTCACACCAGGAGAGCTGAGGTACATTTGTGTTGGTTGGTTTTTGTGTTAAATTTCCTTCTCACCGACCTTCCTTTGTTGCTGTTGATGGTGATGATGATGGGAACATGCGCCATGCATACATGCTGGACATGGCACTCAGAATGTTTAGCTTTGTGCTGCTCACTGAGGCTGGTGAGTCACTCAGGCTGCCACTCCTGGTTGAGGCACATGGTTGGTGACTCTGGGCTCGCTTGTCTGGGTCTCCCTCTCTCTCATTGGCCCTCACACATCATCTTAGTTGATGTACTTGCCTGGAGTGGTACTCCCCTATGTGGCACTCACAGCTGGCTTCTGGTGCAGTTGGAAGTTGCTTATGGTACCTAAAATTGAAGACAGCAAAACTGCACAGGGAATGTTGGTTCCAGGGCACTCATAACCAAGGCGTGCAGAGGCCAGAGCTCAGCCATTGCTCCATTCCTCTGGGCCCAGGTTGAAGTTCTTACTGGAATTCTTTTGGTGGTCTGTAACTTTCTGTATTCTTTCTAAGTGCTAGGGCTGATGATAGAGCAGTGAGAGGAAAAGTGTGTGAAGTGTGTGTGTATGTTTGTGTGTGTATGTGTGTGTATAGATATATAGATATGTAGCTAGAGATACAGTGTGTGTATGTATGTGTGTATATCTATATATCTATATAGATGCATATGGTTAGTGTGTGTGTGTGTGTGTGTGTGTGTGTGTGTGTGTGTGTGTGTGTGTGTTGGGAGAGCTGAAGGCTATGTGCATGCTTGATCCTCAGCACTCCAAGTCACCAAGCCCAGAGTAGCCCTTGAGCACCTTGGCTGTATTCATCTTGTTGTACATCTGTCACTTGCAGCTGTCTCCAGACAGTTCCATCACCCTAAACAGAACTCGCTAAACACCAGTTCCCAGAACAAGGGATGTCCCTCAGTGGTAGGTTCCGAGTTTGATTCCTGGCACATCGAAAGTTCCTCATTCCCTCCTATTCCTGCCCCTGGTAATACTATCCTGTGTAGGTGGAAAAACAACAAAGATGAGGATAAATGTTACTCACTTGGAACGGCTCATGGCTGCCACACCTCCCGCCCGGTTCCGTCCTCACTTCCCTGTTCCTCGTCTCTCCAGAGGACTCCAGCTTCACCCTCAGTGCAGCTCCGAGTCCAGGAGGCAAATGCTCACACCCTGCCCCAGGAATCACCCTGGAAAAATCTAAACTCCAAGGATACATCTGAACCCTCCCACTCAGCCATGTGGGAGAAGGGCAAAACCCCAGCCACTTACCCCCTACCTGGGGCGCTGGGAGGGTGTTCTGACAGGGACATGGTGGCTAAGCCCATAAGGCCCTGGTTTCAGCAGCGGAGCCCAGACCAGAGAGGGCAACACCGGCTCCTGGGCAGGCGCCTGGCCTCTGCCTTAAATGCTTTCTTCAGGACTTGGCATCACAGGAGACTTGTTGCTCCAGTTGCTGCTAATATGTCACTTGCTACAGCTCCCACGGAGGCCTTTTCTGACTGCCCATTCAAAGCGCCCTGAGTCCACCATCCCATTTGCAGTCATTCGTAGTGTGGCCCCCCACCCATACACACACACACACACACACACACACACACACACACACACATGCAGCTCCTTAGGAGCGAGGATCCTGTTGCTCTGCTCTGTTGCTCTGCTCACCCCTCACACATACCTTACACATTGGTGGCCTGAGCAGACAGTGCCCAGGTGGGACCTGAGGAGGGGCCTGCAGTGGGTCCCCAGAAGTAGGGATTGATGGCAGAGTCAGTCTCCATGAGGAAGTCTCAGGTGCCCAGTCTGCAAGGCAGAGGCAGCTGAGAAGCATCGGGGTCCCCAGGGGCCGGCTAAGCACAGCCTGGGGGAGAGCATCAGAGCCAGAGGGGTGAGCGAGTCCCACAGCAGCTGCTCCATGTGCCGGACTCACCGTGAGGGCCCCTGGCCCCACAGAAACAGAAGGAAGGAAGGGAGAAGAAAGGAATGGAAAGAAGAAAGAAAGGGAGAAAGGAAAGGGAGGGAGGGTACTGTGATATCAAGGTCAGTCCAGGATTCAGAATTTTGTTGGTTTGGTTTTGCCAGAGCCTTTGCACAGGGGGATGGGAGGCTTGAGGGCAGGCAGAGGGGAGGTGTGAGGGAGGAAAAGAGGGGTCTGGGCCTGGAGGGACGCTGAGGGTCCGCAGGAGCTCCTCCTCTCCAGGGTCCAGGATCACAGGGCCCAGTAAGGGCAGAGCCCTTCCGCATGTGAGACCCTCAGGAACCCCAGGAGTATGAGGGACCAGGTATGAGCTGGCCTGACTGAGGGCTCTGGACCAGCTCTGCCCCCGGCAGCACAGCGGCTTCTCAGCAGACTCCAGGGTGAGTCAGTGCTTAGCCTGCAGAGAGGCGTCTGCGGCCGCTCCACGTGCAGGGCTGCGAGCGGGGAGGCAGGGCCCGCTCAGGCCTGCCCGTAGCTCCTCCAGGCTCCCCTGGCCGGCTGCAGCCCCAGCTGCTCCCGCGCCTCCCGCTCTCCCGGCTGCGGGCGCTCCCCTTTCCAGTTGGGCCTGTCAGACGGATTCTCTGAACACACCTTCAAAGGGCCCCTCACCCCCAGCCACCCCCACCATCCCACATCCCCTTTCCCAACTTCTCTCCCTCAGGACATGCCACCCAGCTGCCCTCCACACTCAGCTTTGAGCCCTGGCCCCTGCTGCCAGCCCAGACAGTGGCAGTGAAGCCAGGCCCCTGCACAGGTGGGTACCAGAGTGGCCTTCTCGGGCTGCTGGCCAAGTGCAATGGAGAGTCGAGAAGCTGGGACCCACACCCCTTCCTAGCACCTGTGGGTAACACCCTGGACCCTGTTGGCTAGCCTGGGTGCCCCACCTGTACCTGGCTTTGGTGCTAAATAACAGGACTGCCCTGTCCCTCCCTCTCCCTACAGCATAAATGCTCAATCAACCTTACCAAGTGTTCACTATCCAGGGTTGAGCAAAGACCTATGTCGCAGTAGTGGGGCACAGCTGGGTGGAGAGTTTGCAGGGCTGCTGAGCAGGAGGGGGGCGGGGAGTCCCTGAGGCCCAGTAGAGGGGCAGAGTGTCTGTAGGTGGATAGGATGTAACAGCCTCAAGGCTTGTGCGTTCCTGAGGGTCTGGGGGTCATCCACTGAACCCTGGGAACTGCCCAGACACAGCAGGGTTTCAGCGTCAGGACCACTGTGCTTCAGATCCCACTTCCTTCCTCCTCTGTGGTTCTCAGGCCAGGCCTGAAGTGGATCTGCCTTGCAGGCACAAGGCCACAGTCTCAGCCGTCCACGTGCCCAGCAGCACGGGCTCAGAATCCACAAGCAAGTGTGTGAGCCCCGCATCTCGGATGCGATGCCCCATGCACAGCCACGCTAAGCAGAGAGGGCAAGGTAGGAAAATCATAGACCAGGGAAGAGGAACACCGCCATCAGGGAAGAAATCAGTATTCTTGGGCCAGATGATACTCAGCCAGCCTGGACCTGAAGCATGCCCTCAGCCCCAAGTGCCTGGAAACAACTGCAGCCAAATCATCTTTCCTCTGACCTCCACAGCAAAAGGGGGGCAAGAGGTAACACTCTGGTTGCAGCTAGGAGATGGGTGCCAGCTGCTGCATGTTTTTATCCAGGAGGTAAAAAAGGTGTTGGTGGTTTTGTTGTATGTTGCAGGGAGGTCCATATCCAGCGATGCTCAGGGGCTACTCGTGGCTTGTTGCTCAGGCGTTACTCTGGGAGTGCTCAGGAGACCATGCAGTGCAGGGGGTGAAACCCTGGCCACATACCCCCGAGCCCTCGAGCTGGCCCTGGTGTTTGATTTTATTTTGTTCCATAAAGGCCCCCTTTGTCCAGCCTGGCCTTTGGATCTTGGCCAGGTTCACTCATGGCGCGCCTGCACTGAGCCCCGAGGCCACTGCTGAAGTCCACATGAGTGTAATATGCAGGTTCCCAGAAAGCCGGCTTTGAAGCGGGGGTCGGCTTCCGGGTGCTCGTTAGGGCAAGCATGCCTAAGAAACCCTCCTCGGGAATCTTCAGAGACAGGCAGGCAGAGGCTGAGTGGGGATGTGTCTGCAGATAGAGAGTGTTGGGCTGCTTCTAGGAATAAATGGAAGTTGAACAGGAAGGAGAAAGATTTTCTCTTAGAGGAAATATTTTTCTTTCTGGATTTGTGTCCTGAATTGGATTTTTAAGATGGCACCGGCTGCTACATGCTAGTTTTAATGGACTGAAGTCACTTTGGAATTTTTTTTCCTGCAAACCTAGAGAATTTTGCTTTCATTGAAAAAATAAGTATATATATATATATATATATATATATATATATGTACACACACACATATGTATACCCAAAGGTATACATTTTTTTTTTGTAGTTGCTTAAGAGAATATTAGCAGGCCAGAGACATAACTCAAGAGAGTGCCTGGGCTGGAGTGATAGCACAGCGGGTAGGGTACTTGGCTTGCACGCACCGGACCCGAGTTCAATTCCCCGCATCCCATATGGTCCCCCAAGCACCGCCAGCAGTGATTCCTGAGTGCACAATCAGGAGTAACTCCTGTGCTTTGCTGAGGGTAACCTAAAAAGAAGAAAAAAAAGAGAGTGTCTGCTTCACATACAGGAAACCTAGGATCAAGCCCTGGTACTATATGCTCCCCTGAGCACTGTCAGGAGTGACCTCAGAAAAGCAAATGGAGAGAATCTTTACCAGGTCTGCATTCATCCTCAGTCATGGAGATGCTGGTGTGCCTTCAGCTCGCCTTCAGCCTTTCAGCAGGGTCTCCAAATGCTCTCTGATCTTGGCCTTTTCCAGGGGCAAGGAGACGCCTGTGCCAATAAAGATTTTTGAAGGATTCCAGTTTTTTAAAAATAAACTATAGCCAGATGGGCCAGGGAGATGATGTGGGGGTAAGTCTTGCAATACACCAGACTCCAGTTCCATCTAGACACTATTTAATCCCCTGAGCACTGCCAGGAGTGACCCCTGAGCAAGAGAAAAGCCAACGAGTGTGGCTCCAAAACCAAAATAAGTGAATAAAGACATAAAAGAGCTGGAGCAATAGCACAGCGGGTAGGGAGTTTGCCTTGCATGCGCCCGACCCGGGTTCGATTCCCAGCATCCCATATGATCCCCTGAGCACCGCCAGGAGTAATTCCTGAGTGCATGAGCCAGAAGTAACCCCTGTGCATTGCTGGGTATGACCCAAAAAGAAAAAAAAAAAAAAAAGAAAAAAGAAAAGAAGTGAGAGAGGACTGGGAGGAGGCTGTTTCCCCAGGGTGACTGGAGAAGGGGCATGGAGCACAGGCCTGGGGCAGCAGAGGCCAGGGGAAGAGCATCCCAGGGCAGGGAGGCCTCTGTGGTTGGGGAGGAAGTGGGGCGGGGCAGGAAGAGTGGAAGTCAGCCAGGTGACCAGGGATCCCTCTGCCAGACTCCCTGTGGTGCGAGGTGAGGGGAATTGCTGGGCATGCCAGGCCACAGTCAGTCTCCCTCATGTTCTCCCTTCCTTTCCCTCTGTGGTGGTTGCAGTGACAAGGCTGGAGAAGGGGGCTCCAGAATCTTTCTCAGCATGTGGTCTGTGCCAGGGATCAAACTTGAGGCCTCGGGCCAGCAAAACAGGCCATCATCTGCCCCTGATTCATCTTTGATTTGCCACTGGAAGGTTTTAATAAGAGCAGAATCCTAATCACTGTTCAGAATTTGCATGAGGAGCCATACCCCACCATGCTTAAGGCCTGGGGCCATTCCTGGAGTGTGTAGCCGGAGGTGGCAGTGCTTGGGCACTGTGACCTGTGCTGACCCCATATTGAGTCCTTTTCAGGGGCTGTGAGGGATACCCAGAGATACTCGGGTTGCCATGCAGTGCCCAGGTGGACCTTGGTGCCTCCCACAGGCCAGGCATGTGTATGTGTGTGTGTTCTCTCCCTTCAGGCCATACCTGGCAATGCTCAGGGGCTGCTCAGGGAACCCTGCAGTGCCAGGACTCAAACCCGAGACTCCTGTGTATGTGAGAGACAGACTGCACAGCTGGCGTGAAGCCTTTTCTAGGCAAGGCGAGATACAGGCCAAACAGGTCTGCAGAGAAGTCAGGAGAAATCATAAGATTTCATAAGGTCACCTCTTGAATCATAAGGTCACCTCTTGAAGTCTCTTATGTCAGGTCTTTTAGTCTGGAGTTTGAAAACCGAGGCTTCAAGTGACCAAGCAGGGGTTTGCATCTACTGTGGAAAGGTTGGTGACAGCCCTGGCCCACCATGAGTGGACCTCCTTCATGCCTTTTGTTTCAGGGAGTGGCGCCAGGAGGGATGCCACACCTGGCTTTGCTTGGCAGCTGTTTCCCACAGTTCCCTGGCAGGGACCCCAGCTCCCTGCAAGCACAGCAGACACACCTCTCGGAGTACTCTTCAGCCTCCCCTCTCATTCATCCCTTTAACATCTGTTACATATCTCTCACATATCCAGTGCCACTCTGGGCTCTGGGGACCTTGCAACGAGCAGAATTGCCAGTCTAGTCTATTTTACTATCTGTCCTGGGGCAGGAAAGGGGGAAAGATAGTAAAATCAACCTGATCAATAAGTTGTTTCCATGCCTGTCCAAAGGGGGTCAGTGCTGTTGGAATCAGACAGTGCAGGTAGGGAATTGGCAGTCAGGGAACTGGGAGGCCTGAGCAGAGAGTGGCTGTGTGCACGAAGCAGGAAGAGCCTTTCAGGGTCTCCAGATGCTCCCTGATCCTGGCCTTTTCCACGGGGCAAGGGGGCGCCTGTGCCAGATACAGAGCTCAGAAGTGACCAGTGGAGGGGACTAGAGCAATAGCACAACAGGTAGGGCATTTGCCTTGCACGCGGCCAACCCCAGTTCCATTCCCAGCATCCCATATGGTCCCCTGAGTACCGCCAGGAGTAATTCCTGAGTGCCTGAGCCAGGAGTAACCCCTGTGCATTGCATTGTCAGGTGTGACCCAAAAAGCCAAAAAAAAAAAAGTGACCAGTGGCGTGGGAAGTTGTCCTGCGGGAATTGTGCAGGTTGATCTTCTTGTGTGACTATTTTTGGTTTGTTCCGGGGAGGGAGGAAGAGGCCACACCTGGCAGTACTCAGCTCTGTGTTGGAGGTGGGAAATGGGAAATGGGGCTATTCCTGTGGTCCTGGGAGGTCCCGGCTGTGCTGGGGATTGAGCCTCCTGCAAAGACTGATCCATCCACTGAGCTCTCCAGCCCTGGGGGATGATCTGTCCTTGGGGGGAGCATCTGCAAAGACCACTCGTAGCAGTAGGTGAGGTGGAGAGATGTGGCTGGGCACTGGCCCTGTCAGGACTCAGCCCAGACCAGCCCTGTGCCGGGAGAGGACTGTGTGTACAGAGGCAGTGCTGGCTGGCGTGGTATGTGGGCCAGGACGCCCTTGGATGGCAGCAGGCAGCTTGCAGGAGCTGCAGCTGCTCAGAGCCCGTGAAACTGTGCGCAGCGGAGTGAAGAGAATTCTGGGAGCTCAGAGCTGCCTCTGGCTCCTGTCCTGCCACACCCAGGGCTCTGGGAGCTGGGAGGGTCCCAGTTGGGGCGAGGCCCGCCTGCCAGAGAGCTGCTCCTGGGATGTGGACTGCAGGCTGGCCCCAGTGCTTGTCCAGCTGTGAGCCCAAGCAGGCAGGGCTGTTCGGGAAAACTTCCTGCATGCTTGCCAGGCATGCGGCCAGCTCGGTTGAGGCTGCAGGTGGTGCTTCTCTTTGCCGCCCAGAACCTCCCTTGTCTCCCTCTCCCTGCTGCCTCTTCTTGGCCTCAGAAGGGATCAGACAGTAGACCAGGAAGCTCTGGATCCTTTCCAGGAGCCAAGGCCCCAGGCCTGACTCCTCCCGGCTGCCCAGCTGCTCTTGTGGGCTCTGGAGCCCTGGGCTGACTGCGGTGCTGAGCAGGTGTCTGCGGGTGAGTCAGGAGAGGAGGCCAGGTGTGCTGTTAGGGATGGGCTCTCAGCCTTGGCCCTCTGTGCCCCACCTCGCATCTTTTGCAGCTCAAGAGACTGCAGGAGCCCTGCTGCCCTGCTTCTTCCTTCTGTCTGCTGCCCCAGGGCCGATGTCACCTCAGAGGGCCCGGGGACCAGAGCCACAAGTTAGCTCCAGGGCAGTTGGACAGTCCTTGCTGCTGGGGCCCACGCAGCCAAGGCTATCCAAAGCAGGGTGTGACCTGGAAGGAGTGGCCAGCAACAGATGTCTGGACTAAAACCAGCCATTGGCCCTGGTGGGGGAAGGGGTGCCGACCTCATTGGCTGCAGGGAAGCAGCACTAGCGGATCACATGTGATATGCATGTGTTGCACCTCAGCCAAGTGCAGTGTGTGCACCTGGGGAAGAATCTCCATTCAACCAAGACATCTGTATGTTTGAACAACCAGTAAAGCCACATGCAGGTGCTGAATCCTATAAGGAATTCTTGACATTTTGTCAGTCAGGAGAATGATGCTGTGATTGTGTTTGGATGGGGGTGAGGAGATCCTTATTCTTGTCTTTCTCTCTCTCTCTCTCTCTCTCTCTCTCTCTCTCTCTCTCTCTCTCTCTCTCTCTGGGCCACACCCAGCGGTACTCCTGGTGGTGCTTGGGGGACCATATGGGATGCCGGGGATTGAACCAAGGTCAGCCATGTGCTTGGCAAATGCCCTGTCCGCTATACTATCTCTCCAGCCCCGATCCTTATTCTTTTCTAATAGAAATAATTTTGGGGTAAGATGGGCTGATGTTTAGATTTACTTTAAAATTTCTGGAAGTATGGGGGCTTAGAAGATAGTATAGCAGATAGGGCACTTGCCTTGTAGACAGCCAACCAAGGTTCACTCCTCAGCATCCCATATGGTCCCCCAACCCCCACCAGAAGTGATCCCTGACTGCAGAGTCAGGAGTGATCCCTGAACATTATCAGGTGTGGCCCCAAAACAAATAAACAAACCAAAACCTCTGAAGTGAGAGGGCAGAGGTGGAGGTAGTGATGAATCGGGCTGGTGGGATGGTGTCATGTGCTGTCATGGCTCACTGGGTCTGGGGAACAGCCTCTCAGCAGTGTTTGTGTGCTCACATGCACACCCAGACACACAGTGACAGATGCAGGGGCTTGCATGTGCCCAGGAGACTGGCTCTGTCTGCTCCCACGGAAAGTGGCTTCACTTCCAGCCCAGGAAGTCTCCTGCCTGGCCTCAGAGGGGCTCCCGGGCAGGTTCCATGTGGAGTATCCTTCTCTCCTGGAGAAAACTGTGCTGATCTTGTGGTGCAGACAGGACCTCAACTTCCTGTCTGCACCACAAGACCCAGGCGCCTCCCGGTCTTGGAAGCTACCAGGGGTTTTAGAGACCGTGATGACGCAGCACCCCCAGCCAGGGTGTCCCCAGGTCTCTTGCTACTTGTGTGTGACGGGCTCCCTCTTCTCCCCAGCTGTCCTCGCTCAGCCGGCTCCTCAGCCTCATGAGGCCATCTTCCCTCAGGCAGCACCTGGGAGCTGAGACTGTGCAGCCCTGCCAAGAGCCACAGCCCAGGGCCAACGCCGAGCTCGACCACAAGGTGAGACCTGGCACCCGAGGTGCAGCGGGTGGGACTTGCTAGCCCCTGCACACCCCGGCAGAAGCTGCTCCCTCTCTCAGCCCCTCTGTGACCTATGCCCCTCCTGAGGTGCTGCCTGCAGGCCCAAGGAGGGGGGTTGTCCCCTCCCTCTGCCCCCAGCGCAGTCTGAAAGGGAGTAGGAGCTGAGGTGCTGAAGGGGTACAGAGGCGGTCATGCAGGGTGTCCAGGTGGGAGAGCCAGCCTGTGGGGAGGAGGAGTTCTCCCTGACTGACTTTCCAGGCTCTGGCGAGTTCCACCAAAAGCTGCACCTGGGTCAGTCACGAATGACAGGTGTCCCAGAGGCTGCCGGTTGTGGGATATAGAATGCTTAAGTCTGTGGCTCTGAGGACAAGACCAAGCAAGGGTAGTGCAGGAACTCCAGGTGGAAGCCCCAGACTGGAGAGGTGGCTCAGAGAGGCCTGCATGCTTTATATACCTCCCCAACACACACACACACACACACACACACACACACACACACACACACACACACACCCCGAGCACACACACACACACACACACACACACACACACACACACACACACACACACACACACACCGAGCACACAGAGAGCATCACAGGGGGCAGCCCATAAACCGAAGCAACAGAAACAGGCAGGAACCCCAAACCAGCTCCAGGGCGCAGGCAGGAGGGGTTGGGGGCGCCCTCTCAGTAGATGAAGAGCACAGATACCATCTTCCTCCCTGCGAATTCCAGCAGCTCCTGGAGGGTGGCTGCTGAGGAGCCAGAAGTCCAGCCTTTGGGCATCATTCTGCAGATCAGATAAGCGGAATTAATGACTTAATGAACACAGAGGCCTATTTTGAGGACAGGCCAACCCCCCGGGTGCTGCTGCTGGAGCTGGGAGGGAAGGTTATCTATGGGTAGTGCCTGATACCAGGGCCCTTAGGGGTGAGACCTGCTCTCTGCCAGCCCCTTCATTTCTACGAGCTCATTCCAGGGAGCTGAAGCTGATCCTGGATGGAGACTGAGTGGCTGGTGGGGGTGCCAGTCTCTGGTGGTCACTCTGGCAGGGTAGGTAGCCAGGCCCTGCGCCTACACTGGGGGCCAGGGAAAAGGAGCAGAGAGGGGTTGGTGAGAATAGGCTGCGTCTCTGTCTGCCTGAGTGACAAAGTGACCTGGAGGCCCTCTGGGCCACGACTGTGACCTCAGCTAGCAGCCCTGCTGCCCGGCCCCCCGGCCCCTCACCACCCCAAAAGAGGGGCGCCTGCGAGCTGCGGTCCCTGCCTTGGAGAGCTCGTTGAAGGCAGCACAGGGTCGACCTGGCTGCTCTGACATGGAGATGACCCGCGTGGCCTGGGAACTTGAAGGCGCTAACAGGTCTTGTGTGGTGCCTGTCCCCAAGTGCCGGAATGATATTCCCGGGATTAGGCTGCCTAAGGAAGGGCGGGACCCTGGGGCCTCCCCAGACAGGGGCGTGCCTCGGCCCAGCCACACTTCCCCCTCAGCCCACTGACTCTTCCGTAGGCCCCAGCATGTTTCATCTTCAAAGATGGGCAGCCCCAAGGAGCAGCGGCGTCACCGCCTGCTTTTACAGGCAGCGGTGGTCTGGGCCTCCTGCCTTTCATCCCCGCAGCTCAAAGTTTTGCCCTTTAGTCTCCGAGGTGAGGTGCGGTATGGTGGGGAAACTGAGGCCAGCGTGAGCCTGGCCGGAAGGAGTTGGCACCAGGCCCCTCTTGTTCCTGCCAGCCCTGCAGATAATCACTCCCACAGCCGTTCCTGGCCGCCCCACCTCGCCTCGGCCCTTGGCCCAGTCCCCTCTCCCTGGGGCAGTCCAGTCACAGCGCCTGGCCTCCCCCTTCACACACACCCCAGCTGGCGAGCTGCTGCTGGCGCCCAAGGCACCGCTTTCTCCTCCATGCCTGTGGCTTTGCAGTTGTCCTTTGATTTGTCTCCCACATAGACTGTGGGCACAGCTGGTGTCTCCGGGCTCACAGGACATGTCCGCCTCTAGGTGAATAAGTGAAGGAAGGAAGGAACAGGCATACGAATGCCGTTCGCCTTTCTCTGCCTCTGAGCTCTTCTCTTCTGCTCCGTCCTGGCCATCCATCCCTTGCCCAACCGCCTACCCTTTTATGGAAAACTCCTTCCCGCTGGCGCCCTGTAACCAGCATCTGTCTGGTAAGGTCCTGTCTCATTAAGGCCACAAGGGTTTATAGCCCGGCCTAAGGCTGTGGGAGGCCCTGACTTCAGAAGTATCACCTGCTTATGAAAGGACCAATCATGGTCCATTGTTTATAATTATAACTCAATGACCTGCCTGCATGGGAACCCTGGCCATCAAATGCAGTAGAAGAAATGCTACAATATGGTGGGGCGGGCGGGGGGGCAGAGGGGTCCTCCGGTGGCAGAAGCTGACAGTGCCAGAGCAGGTAAGGTTGCCTCGCATGCACCGGCTCAGGTTCAGTTCCCAGCACCCTATATGGTCCCTTGAGCCCCTCCAGGATAAGGGCCAGAGGTAAGAATGAGCTAAATAAGAATATTTAGCCAAAAAAAAAAAAGTGAGAAGGCTGTGGTGGTTCCAGCTAGGTCAAAGATACCAAGTGTCCTAGTAAATCAGGGCAGCACTCTGGGAGAATACTGCTTCTCAAGCCAAAAGATAGTACACTAGTAATGTGCTTGCCTTGCATGTTAGATGCCTAGCACTGCATACAGTCCCTTGACCACACTGAGTGAGCCAGCCAGTGTGGTCCAGTGTCCTTCCTCCCCTCTAAAAAAATGTCGCATCTCTGGGTGACAGAGATGGTTCAAAGGATCAAGCACTAGCTTTGCATGCAGGAACCCTGGGTTCAGTACCCAGTTCTGCATAGTTCCCTGAGCACTGCACCAAGAGTGACTAATGAGTACTGTTAGATACGGCCCAGAAGCAAATAAACATAAAAATCCACTTTTTTTTATTGAATCACTGTGAACTACAGTTACAAAATTTTAATGTTTGAGTTTCAGTCATACAATGTCCACCACCAGTGTACATTTTCCACCACCAGTGTCCTCAGTATCCCTCCCCCTCTTCCCAAAATCCACTTCTTAACTAGATGATTAGTGGGTCAGAGACATAGTACAGGGGTGAGGCACTTCTTTGCATATGACCGACCCAGTTTTTATCCCCAGCACTGCAAATGTTCCCCGAAGCACTACCATGAGTCACTCTGAGCACAGTGCCAGGAGTAGTCCTTGAATTGGGTCTGGATGTGGCCCCAATTCTCTAACCTGTTCCCCTTCCCAGCCAGATAATTCAGTACTTTTAGTACTTCATGAAGTTTTATTTTGTTTGTTTTTGCCTTTGGGCCACACACAGCTGTTTATGCCTGGCTCTGTGCTCACTCCTGGCAGGTCTCTGGGACCATATAGGGTACCAGGGATCAAACTTGGTTCAGCTGCATGCACGGCAAGCCCCCTATGTTGCTTCTCTGGCCCTGAATTGAATTGGGCGCCAGGAGTCGGGGAGCACACCTGGCTCAGGGTCACATGTGGCGCTGGGATTAACGCCCTTAGCAGCCAGCTCCACATGCTAGTCAAGCACTTTAGCTTCCCTGCTGTCTTCTGGGCCATGGGAACTACTTTTGTTTCTCCTAGGAGTCATAGCCAGCAGTGCTCAGGGGCTGTTCCTAGCTCTGTGCTTGGGGGTCACTCTGGAGGTGCTGGGTGACCATGTAGTGCTAGAGATGGAAACTGGACCTCCCATATACAAAGCACATGCTTAACCTGTTGAACTATCTCCAGCTCCAAATTTCCCTCTGGAGAGATTTCCCTCTCGCCTCCCCTCCCCTCTGCTCCCCTCTTTTTTTTTTCTTTTTGGGTCACACCCAGCAATGCACAGGGGTTACTCCTGGCTCTGCGCTCAGGAATTACCCCTGGCAGTGCTCAGGGGACCATATGGGAAGCTGGGAATTGAACCCGGGTCGACCGCGTGCAAGGCAAACGCCCTACCCGCTGTGCTATTGCTCCAGCCCCTGCTCCCCTCTTTTTGAGGTACAAAGCTAGTGTTCTTCCCCTGAGCCACATATCTGTCCCATACAGGGGTTAAGGTACTTGTCTTATATGAGCCCCATTCCAGTACCATCCCTGGCAATGCTCCCACTAGAACCGCCAGGAGTAACCTCTGAGTATAGAGCCTGGAGCAGCCTCTGAGCACCACCTGGTGTGCCCTGGACCCTCTCCTGCAAATTGTAAAGATTTTCATGTCAGGAGCCCGGTCTCGGCCCCGCTGTGCTGGCCTGCCTGAGTTGGCCTCTCCTAGTAGAGAAGAAACTCAAGGTCAGAGCCATATGGGAAGTCGGGGGTCCGGACAGGCCTGCTAAGTGGCCGGTCACCCAGAGCTGGCCTCAGGTGCTTCCCTTTGCCCAGTGTCCATCACTTCCACATGCCCTTCTGGAGCACCACCGGCCGAGCCCCTGCTTCTGGCTGCTGTGCAGATGAGCGTTGCGTAACTGGTCTTGATTTTCCTCTGTCCCTCAAAGTGACCCACTCAGCCTTCCCGCCCAGAACCAGGGCTTTCCTGGACTTTTTGTTTCCTTTTAGCTGACTTGAGTAAACTGGCTTTGACCTGATTTTTTTCTCGCTGCCTCTGTCCAATCGCAGCGTCTTGGCCCATTCACGTTCCTGGTTGTTTTGCTCTTGCTAAATCTGATGAGTCTGTTCTGTTCCTGCTTACCACGCTAGGCTGTTGTTTCTGGCTGAGGCCTCCCAGGCCTTTTGCTTGCAGCTGCTACCGGGAAGGAGCGAGAAGGTTCCATTGTTCCCTCTGGGATTCGGAAGGGTTGTGCACCCAGAGCTGTATGGTGGGTGGGAGTCCTGCCCATTTGGATATGGTGAGGAAGTGAACTCCTGTTCATTACATGGGAAGTGAACCAAGATTCCCCCAAAGGAGAAGTCCCACAGTTGGGGCTGGATTGAGGCGCCAGGATTCTGTCTCCCCTTCTGCTTTTGGGGCAGCAT